TATAGAATCCTATTTGCATTCGTATCTCTTTCTGTAAATTCTGTTTTATATAGTTTCTTAATTGTATATTAAATAAATATTACTATTCACTTAGTTGAATGAACGTATAGCTCATTCAGTTAAGACATTTGGCCGCGTAGACCCAGGTTCACATCCCGCTGTTTCACATATATTTCTTCTCTTTTTACTCTTTGCTGATATCATTTACCTTTAGAGAGATCTCTCGTTCTTTATAATAAAGTATTTAATTGTTTATCACACATCCTCTTTATACTTTTTAAAAAGAAAGGCATACTGTTTATCTGTTCATTGAGAGTCCAACTTAACGGGATTTTACTGTATATATGTATATATTTATATATATATGAATATATATATATATATATATATATATATATATATATATACATATATATACAGTAAAATCCCGTTAATGTATATATATATATATATATATATATATATATATATATGTATATATATATATATATATATATATATATATATATATATATATATATATATATATATATATATATATATATATATATAAGGTATATTTGTATAAACATTTGAAGAATCATTTGACAACATTTTTTTATAATTTTATTATTTATTATTTAAACTGTTAACAGTTAATATCTTAAATATATCGTAACATAAAATCTTTTGCGTCTTTTTCGTAACTGCACATTCCGGAATGCTCCTTCCGTAATGAACTATTTCGTAAGTATTCTTACGAAATGATTTGTTTCGCAAGTCTTCTTTCGTAATGCGTTATTACGGAATTTTATTTATTTATATTTTCGTATAGAGCGTTACGGAATGTGCATTTTCGCATGTGCAACTTCCGCAATAACAATTCTATTACGGAAGATAAAAATGCGAAATTTTCGTAAGTTTTGTTTTTCGGCGAACAACCCTAGTTGAAACTAGAAATTGGAGTTATGAAATAAGTTGGATCAAACTAGAAATTGGAGTTATGAAATAAGTTGGATGAGGGCATTCCATTAGCTTTAATACAGTTTCTCCGTCTTCTAGTTTCAAAAATTGATTTTCCAAAAAAAACTCTATAACCCTTAAAGGACGGGGGAAAAAAGTTACATTAAGGACGCCTGGGGTATTAAACTACCCCAACTAAAAGTATAAGTTTTTATAGAAAACATGTTGAGCTTTTTAACTTAAAATGCGTGCATTCAACAAAAATATCAATTTTCTCAATGTTTTTTTAAATAAAAGTGATATTTGATACAATTTATTCAAATAAAAACGAAATATAACTCCTAAATAAGGCAACTATTGCAAACAATTTTGCTATGAGCCTTGCAAACAGAATGGCTACATGATGCACATTGAAGACGGGTTTTTCTGTCTTGAACACGAGGACACATATAGCACTTTTTTATGTGCTGCTCTTGATTCGGTTGACCTTGATTTAATAGGTTATTTTGTACAATTACTTGGCCAAGATTATTACTTGCAACTATTTGTGGAAGATTGTCATTTGCATCAAACTTTTTTATAAGACTTTTTGATAATTCTTTTAAAAATTCTCTTCTTCTATGAGAGACTCCATTTTTATAATTCGGGTGAATTGACAAGAATAAAATCAAAGCATTGTATGCTGCAATATCCAAAATATTACAAAACATTGTAAATGGCCATCGGTTACTTTTTCGGCGACTCGAATAGCACCTGACAACCTGGTTTAATGTGTCAACTCCACCTTTATATTTGTTGTAATCTAGAATAATACACGGTTTTTCATTATGGTCCATAACAATGTCATTACTGTGATGGAAGCTTGATAATAATATTACTGCTTTGTTTTGCTTAGGTACATAAGAAACAATAGTAGAGTCATTTTGAAAACCAAAATTGCTAGAATAAACTGGTCGATGTAAGGCTGGCAATAACTTTTTTGGTATTTCTCCTTTATTTTTTTTAATGGTGCCAGTATATGTCATTTTACGTCCTAGCAATGCACGTGCAAGATGAATGTTTGTAAAAAAATTATCAGCTGTTATGTGTCTACCACTTCCATTTAAGTGATCAGTTAGTTCAAGAACTACTCGTGTACCTTGTCCAACATCACGTACTCCATTTACTCTACCAATATACGGTTGCAAATTTATGCAGTAAGAAGTTTCAACATCACAAAATATCCATATCTTTATTCCATGCTTTCCTGGCTTAGTAGGTATAAACATCTTAAATAGACAACGTCCCCTAAATGTAACTAATTGCTCATCAACAGCAAGATATGCACTTGGATTGTAGTTGCTCTTACATTTAGTAGTAAACATTTCCATTATATTTCTTAAAGGTGTAAATTTGTCTTCAAACCGTCTTTGATTTCTTGTTTCTCTCTCATCAAATCGAATGCATCGTCGCAAGTTAACAAATCGATCTCTTTGCATTGAAGTAGAAAATATTGGTATGCCATCTAATTTACTCCAAAGCTCTTTTATGCTTTGGTTTTTAGAATTAAACACTCCAGCTAGAAGAAGAACTCCAATAAACTCATAAAGCTCATTTACTGTCGTGTCAACCCATCCTTCTAGTCTTATTCTACGAGCTTCACCATTAGTGCAATTGACAATGATTTTAATCATTTCTGATGTTATAAAAAGTTTAAAGGCAGTATCCACACTTTGGCCGCAAACCTGAGCTGCAAACCTTGTTGGGCCAGTTGGTTGTCGAATAATATTGTGTGCACATGGCTGAGCAGCATTTACAGATGGAAGTTTACTCCAAATATCCTCACCATTCTTTGAAATCATGTTTTGATTTAAAATGTGATTTTCCTGAACAACTTCTTCATCACTTTGATCAGAGATGATAGCATCTGATTCATCGTCAACTGTAACAACATCTTCTTCATAGTCTGTAAGGTTTTCATCAGCTGAGTCATCACTTGAAGATAAGTCATTTAAACCAAAAATAATATTATTAGCCTCGACTGCAGCATTTCGTCTTGGGCGACTCATTATATAAATTATACTTATTCTAAAAATAATTTCAGTCTTTATTAAACCAAATATGTGAAAAATATATAACAAATATTGTAGGCATTATTAATTTGTACCAATAATATAAATATTTTTGACATAAAAACAAAATATATGCAACATGAGCAGACTACTGTTGTTACAGTGAGTGTATATATTTAATCAATATATGGTATAATTTACTCATAAAAAAGATAAATAATACCCCATACCTATTAAAAAATTACTTAAACACAAGCAAGTGTTAAAATAAACATGATTTATATAGCTATTTATTGATTCACTAACTAAAAAATGAGAAAACTTGCATGGGGTTTAAAAATACCCCAACCGTCTTTAACGTAATTAAATTTTTAACTAACAATATTATTGTCAATTGATTAGTAAAACAAAAACATTTTACACTAAAAACTTCCTTTAATGATAATAAAAGATGTTCTGAAGTGGCAGTTCAAACACACAAAATTTGTTGATGTGGCAGTTAAAAGTAAACTCTTTTGGGGTAGTAAAATACCCCGCCGTCCTTTAAGGGATAAACTTGAAATCCACCTTTGTTTTCACATCTTTTTGAGTATCAAGCTACACAACAACTTGTTGAAATATTTTAATTCTTGTTAAAAAAACAAGATCATACAAATATCACAATGATTTTACTGGAAAATTTCCGAATATTCGTTTTTTCTGTAGCAGGTCATTAAAGCGATAAGATGTTTAAGCGAATTTTTCCTTTTTAAGCAATACATTTTGGGGTTGTTCATTAATTACGTCAACAAAATAGGGGGGGGGGGTCTGAACTTTTTTGACAATTGTTGACACGGGGGAGGGGGAGGTCAATTAAAATTGACGTCAACATTTTTTTTTTTTTGAGTTTTGTTGCATAAATAACGGAAAATTAGGCTGAGTTTGTAGCGTAGTTTCTTTGTATAGGGGGGGGGGGGTAATCAAAAGTTGACATAATTTTATAAGGGGGGTCTCTGGAAATTTGACAAATTAATGACAAGGGGGAGAGGGGAAAAATTTCAAAAAATTTGTTGACGTAATTAATGAAGAGCCCCTTTTATAGCACTTTATAGCAATGATTTTAATACACTTTATAACAATGGTTTTTATCTCTGTTCTTTAATCGTTGCATTTAAATAACTTTTTATTAATAAATTAAATAAATATTTTACCAATAATTTTATATTATTAATTTTACTACTTTAACTATATACAAAAATATATAAAAAGTTCGTTTTTATTAAATTTTTTTCTTAAAGATAAAATTTGCTAATAGAAACCGTTTATCGCTTTAACGACCCTGAACCGTTTTTTCTGTCTACAAGTATGCGCGCGCATCTTTTTTTGAAATAAAGAATGTAAACATTTGAAAGTCATATTATAGATGACATTTATAGCACTTCAATACAAATGACTAGCTTAAAGACATTTTAGACGAACCAATTTTATGAAACAATTAACAAAGTTTCATTTTCAAATGTACTGGAGACCAAAACTTTTCTCTGTTTAAATTTTTACATAAAAAAGAATTTAATTAAAATAAAGGAAATTGTACAATCATTGCAGTTGGAAAAGACTTGGTTAAATCGGTGAATTGGCAATACGTCAATTTACGATCGTAGAACGTTAGGTTTTCAGAAACAACTAGTTTTCTTAAATGTTTTTAATCAAAATTCTAGAAAATTCTGCAGGAATAACAAAACAAAAAAAATATTTAATTAAAAATATTTTACTAAAAACCTAGAGTTAAAAAAAATATTTTACAGAATAATAAAAGTCATTTATTTTCTTATTTCTTGATTTTTTTTTTTTTCATTTTGTTTATATTCTTATCAAAAAAATGTTCTGTAAAGTTTACTTTATACCTTTTATGTATTTTAGTATAACATTAAAACAATTTTTTTCATTTCAAGAAAAAAAATGTTTACTTGATTTACCAGTTGACACTAATTATTAATAAATCCAGAGATTTAAGAAATTTTATTTTTCAATAATGTAATGTTTAAAAATGCTAACATTCAACAATATTTCAATTTTTAATAAATATTTTTTATGTCCAAAAATCGTTTCAAGAGCTATAACAAAAGTGTTTTTTTTTTGTCAAAAATTCATTTTTATTGTATACAAAATTTTAAGACAATTATGAAACCAACGCAAGAACATAGAAACAATGCACTTGCCATTTTTATAGCCCAAGTACTATAACAATTAATAAAACTATCAGTGTAAAGAATAATTTCGCATTCATCTAAACCTCTCTGCTTCATGTTTTCTTTTATAACATTCTGTTCTGTATAAGATAAAGTATGTAATCTCCATATCTCAGAATAACTAGTCTTTGTAAAACGTATATTTGCGCTGGAGTGGAAAAGCGTTAATTCGTTAGATACACCTGAATCGACTAAACCAATAGTCCCTAATGGTACTTTAAAAGTAAACCATGACATTTCCCAATAACGTTTGTTATGTATTAAAACAGATCCAACAAACACATGCCAAGCTAAAGATAACAGTTCTACAAAAAAGAAAATCCATTTAATTGACGGTATTTGGAAATTTTTGAAAAATAAAAAAACAGGAATAAGCGCCACTAAAAACTGTAACAGTAAACCCAAAACAGCTTTCCACATTGTTTGTCTAGAGGATTCACCATTCCACAGTAACATGTACAAGCGAGTTATGTCACCTTTGTTTTTTTCCCATGCATACATAAAACATCGAGTCATGTAATTTGATCGACTGATAATCCCACCTGCAAAACTCGAATCAACCATGAAAAAGACAGAAGCCATTCGAGGCCGAACATAAGACAAAGATCGAGTTTTTCCAACCAGTCTTTCGTTTTCATTTTCACTATCAATTTTAATTTCTTCGTCATCTGAAAATCGTACTTTTGATTTTTGAAAACCGTTTACTTTATAATCATTTGCCATACCATAAACATAAAATAAAGATACTTAAACACTAAGGAACCTATACAAGGCAATGTTAAACAAGTTGTGACGCCGAATCAACAAGTAAATATTTTTTTAAGTTTTCATTCAATAACAAAAACGATTGCTTGTAAAATTACATATTTTTGTTTATTCTTTTATAAACAATCTTTATTACTTGTTTCACATAAACTCATAAGCGCGTGATGTTATCAATAAAACTTCCCAACATTTAATATAATAAGTAGAATTTATTATTATTAAGAAAGTCTTGTTTCAAAAAATTTAACACTTTTCCAATTGCTAAAGATTATTTATGTTTTTTCTAAATACATGGCTGACTGAGGCTTTCTCAGTAGCTGAAGAGAATTTATAATTAAGGTTCATCTTTCACACCAGATAAAACATAAGCGTAAACAAAGTATTAATCTTATAGCTTACGAGCAAATATACCTAAGCTGTCTGAACAATAAAATAGATATTCAAAACTTGCGTTATTTACCTTTAGACAAAGTTATAAAAATGTTTAAGTTTGTATTTTTATTTAAGCAATTTATTTGAATACGAAGAGAACAAGCAAAGGTGTACAATCGAAGAGGATATCTGTCTACAATTCAGGGGGTATGGAACTCCAACACATAGAGTTAACCTATATTACGTTAAATGAAAAGCAAATCAGGAATGAGATGTACTTTTTATACTTTAGAAAAAAAAGGAATGTAATGATGTCATATCATCACTGTAAACAGTTTTTGATGATATGACAGCTTATATTTTCTTTATGCTCTAGGTATTTATAATATGTGTTCATTTTTAGTTTATTGTAAATACCAATATGCGACATAAAAAAGAAAAAAAAAGAAAACAAGGTGAGATAATTCCACAGCGTGAAGCATTAAGTTAACGTTTACATTTTATTCTGCAATACATTAACTAATGTATATCTAATCGATATTCTGGACCACATGTAGCATTGGATTGCTTTAATTGCTTATTTCCGTATTCTACGTATTTACTTATCTCTGAAATTCTATATGAAAAAAAAAGCATTGTTTAGCATATTTGCACTTTTTAACTTTCAATTATTTTATATACTTGTTAATAATCAGTACAAAAATGTATTTTTAGATATTAAAACAATAACAAAAAGGACATCAGTTTATTTAAAAATACTCAGTTTTATGCCGTTTTATGGTGAGATAAATAATTACCTTTTTTTGAATTTTCTACTTTACAGAGTATTTTCTGAATCAAAATGTAACAAAGAGCTTAATTCTGGAAAGAAATTGAAGCAAAGAAGACAATTTTGGTCAGAAAAAAGGATGTGACAATTTATTAATTCACGACTCACAAAATCAACTGGATTAACATAAGCAAGGTTTTTGAGTCTTTAATTAACAAGCACTTAATCTCTCATCATAAATCTGAACGAGAAGATCAAAATCCATATCGGTGATCAGAAAGTAAGTTTACTTTCTGATCACCGATATGGATTTTGATCTTCTCGTTCTACTGCTGATATGTTAACGGTAATAACCAATAGGTTTTATCGTGCTAACTGTTATCGTAATAATCTAGATCTTTCTATATTTATGAACGGTAATGTACTCGATGAGTCATCATTCTTTTTTTAGGATTAATTCTTACTTCCGATCTTTCTTGGAAATCATATCTCAAATCGATTGCAAAATTAGCATCTGCTAAGGTTGCATCTCTTTGACATACTTGCCACTTTCTTACTCCTGATTATATTTTTTATCTCTATAAATCTCAAATCCATTCAGTATGGAAAACTGTTGTCATATCTGGAGCGGATCTTTGAATGATTCCATATCTCTTTTAAAAAAAAGCAAAACGCATTTTAAATATAGTTGGACCTGCACTTTTAGCCAACCTTCAACCATTGTCACACCGTCTTAATGTTGCTTCTCTTTTCTATAATTTTATATTATTAATTTTACTACTTTAACTATATTAAAATATATAAAAAATTCGTTTTTATTACATTTTTTTCTTAAAGATAAAATTTGCTATTAGAAAACGTTTGCTAATAGGAACATCAATTGGAATTTGCTCCTTTCCCCGTGTTTTGCTGATTCAAACAAATTGGGTTATAAATTTGGTGTAAATCAATCATCGTAAATCAATTGATCGTAAATTATAAAAAATAAATATTTAATATAGAAAAATTAAAATACGTCCAAATACACCATTAAATAACAATAAAAAGAAAAAAAAAACGAAGCAGAAAACTTGTTAATCATAACACGAAGATACTTCTGGTCATCGATGGTGAACTTTATTTTGCAGGCGAAGACATGCCTAGAAAATCTGTATATTACTCAGACATTAAAGAAACATTCCCAGAAACTGTTTGCTTTGTGAGCAAAGAGAAAATTTAAACAAAATTATTGAAATATTGCTTTTTCCGTGGTTTGTATGAGCAATTGTTTTGCATTTCAGAAGCTGAAGAACTCAATACATCAATTTATGTTGTTTATGTTTAGAAAAACAACTTTATTTATTCATTCGGAAGCATCATGGCAACTTTAACGATTTTGGTCAGATTTAGCAAGTTCTTATTATTCTAAAGGTTCTGTAAATTGGACAAATATGTCAGTTATATTAATAAAAAATCCAACCTATCAAATGTGCCTCAAGCACAACCAATTGAGAACTATCAGGGGTCATTTGGGTGCAAAGGTTTATGAGAGAGGTTGGAGACAATTTCTTGATTGATCGCATCAACTTAAAACTAAAAGAAATTTATTTAAAAATTTTAACACTTACTTATGCAAGGTGTCAAAGCAAAATTGAGATCAATTGCAGGTGATGGTGATTTTTCATTTAAGAAATAACTGATTTTTATTCACAAATAAGTACTTTAATTTAGAAAAGTATCCTTCTTTTTAATTAATAATAACATAATAAAGTTTTTGTTTTGCCCAATAACTTATGTATCACCCGTTAACTTCTTTCAGTTAAGATTTTTTGTTTATGAAATACTACCACACAGGGTTCCTGATTAAATAATTTTTATATTTTTTGTTAGTCTGTTTTTTTATAATTTTTTTTAGTAATTTCATGGTAGAAAAAATAATCATTTTGTTTTTTTTGGCATACATTGTATATAACCTGATACAGCTAAAATAAGTTTGTTTTAGTTCACAGTCGCTTCAAAACAGTCGCTTCAAAAAAGTCATGAATTTCTTTTGGTTGCGAACTCGTTTGCTACTTCTGAAATTCGGCTAAAACCATTACAAACAAAACCTTTAAATCCAATATAGTTAATGCTTAGAAGATCAATTCAGCCTTTGTATTCAGATTATATTGTAAGTCATGATACTCATTCGGTATCTATTGTACACAGATACCGAATGAGTATCATGACTTGCCAATTTGTCTAAGATTGTGTACGTTAACGGTGTCAACATACAAAACGTTCAAAAATATTTATGTTCGTGCGAAAGTACTTTCAACGGTGTCAACATAGTTGACCGCTTTTTATCCAACTGATATTTATAGTTGTTACTATCTTTTACTGTCTTTTACTGTCTTTTACTGTCTTTTACTATCTTGTTACTATCTTGTTACTATCTTTTACTCCCTTACTATCTTTTCTGTCACAAGAAAATTTATCGATGGTATGATCCATACCAGGTAATACATGTGCGCAACATTTCAAAATCTTTTGGTTTTCAACACGTAGATTTTTAAATATGTGCTACAATTTTGGAACTATCGAACATCAAAAATCTATAGCATCTTTTAATTCTTGCACAATGGTGTTTTCTAGCTCCGCGTAATACTTTAGCATGAGGTCTAGGCGTGCTTATGTGTGTGTGTGTGTGTGTGTGTTGTTTTATGTATATACATACATTTGCTAACATTTTTTTTATATCCTCCATCTATATATACCATATTTATGCTCGACACTTAAAACATTTCATCAACACAACAGTTAATGACTGTTACTTTCCTCGACTATTGTTTATTATTAGTGTTTATACTTACTTCTTTTACTATCATTAAGTTTCAGTATTTTTTTTTAAAGGCTCATCGTTTTCTGCTGTCCTTTTGTACTTTTCTACACTCTTTTTTACTTATCATGCATTTCTATGGCGTTCACGGCTCGGTGCAGCTTCACTAAAATGAATTGCATTTACAAAAATCACATTTACACATTTACATAAAGTACATAAAACAACATTTACTTAAATTACATAAAACAACACACACACACACACACACACACACACACACACACACACACACACACACACACACACATAGAAGATGAGCGTTTTCTTCTGTAGTAAGTTTTAAATTTGTGCTGTTCCTGGCAGCAGATATTGAGTTGTGTACGAGTAGTTCTAGCAACGAATAAATAAAAGGAACAAAGCAAGCTTCTTTTTTATCCTCCTTCTCTACTTATCTACCTCAAAAAAAACTCTCCTGGCTTTTTGTTTTTTTCAGTTAAAAGTTATTCTTTTTATGATTATTTTTAGGGGGGATGGGGGAGGGGAAGAAGATTTGGATAAATGCTCCTCCGCCCTCCTTCTTCTACTTAAAAAAATCCTTCTGGACAACTTTCTTGATGAGTTAAAAACTATTATTTTTTTGATTTTGCGTGTCTAACTTTTGAAAAAGGTGTGACTCGTCACCTTTTGGAAATACAGCGTTCAATTCTAACGTTGCGAAATATTAGGACCAACTAATTGACTGCATTTTGAGCAAAATGCATTTTTGCTCAAAATGCAGTCAATTAGAAATCAGCAATATTTATTTTACGGTTACTTATATTATCCTTGACTAGGCTGCAAAAAGCATGTAAGCATTTTTTATTTTATTTTTTTATCTTTCTAATTATTTAATTTGGGTTTGAAAACCTTGATTGAATTGTATGAGTAGCCAACTTTCTCTAGAGACCCAAGCAAAATTTTAAAAATTTGTTGGTAAACACTTAAGATTAAATAAAAACTAATAAAAGATTTTTATAAGTTTTTACAATAGTAGTTTTTATATTTTAAGAGTGGGCGTAAAGTGGTTTTTATATTTATTCCATAATTTGTTTTTTTTAAGGAGATTTTTATTTACTTATAATAAATAAAAGCAATTCAAAACAATTTTATAAAAAAAAATAACAAAAATAGTTTATAAAAGAGATCATTTAAAATCTTGTAAAAATTATATAATCTATGAAAGATTATAAAACTATTTTTCATTTTTACTTCAATTTAACAATCAAATTTTTTAGGGTTTCAAGGTTTCAGGGTGACTCTGATTTTATGTTCTGTACTATATATATCATGTCATGTAAATATATTTAACTTAAAAATGAAAACGTATAAATTTAGATTTAGAAATTTGTTTTATTAAATAAAAAGAAAACAATCTTAGAAAAAAAAAATTTAACCTAATTAAGCCTCAAAGGATTAGCGATTCATAAAACTAAATTATTATCCTCACATTCATTCACAAACATTCATAAAACTAAATTATTATCCTCACATTCATTCACAAACATTCATAAAACTAAATTATTATCCTCACATTCATTCACAAACATTCATAAAACTAAAATATTATCCTCACATATAGTTTATGAGAATTTGAAGAATAAAATATGCCAATACAAAAAGGAAAATATTCACACAAAAAAAGTTATTTAAATCAAAAAAAGTGTCTTTCTAATAAAATCAAAATTTATTTATAAATATGAAAATATAAATGGGTACATAACAAATTCAGATTTTTTGAGTTTTTGATGTTACTATTTTTTTTTAATTTTGTCCTATCTACTCGTTATCTCTTTGTACCAATCAAATTTATAACAAATGAACAAAGAAAGTCTTTATTTCAGATTGCATCCCTAATATGCCGGGACTAAAGGTAACATTTTTTTAAAGTTTTTCTGTTGTACTTTTTCGTTATTGCCACGTTTATCTGTAAAACAAATTAAAAGTTTCCTATATCCTTGCTTAAAGTCTGTGCTAAGGGCGTAAAGTATGATAGGGTTCATTATTGAGTTGAAAAATAACAAAGCAATTGCTATTTGATAAACAATTGAAGCATATTTCCATTTACTAATTGGTCCTTTAAATACATTATCAATCAACAAAACTTGTATTGGGAAAATGCAAAAAGTAAAACTTGAAAAAATGATCAGTAGAACTTTCAAAATTTTTTTATTTTTTTGCGTTCGATAAACCAGCTGCATTTTTCCTAAGGACCCATTTGTCAGTTGTAACATATTACTTAAACCACGGCGCATGTGCAATATACAAAATAATACCACTATGAATGGAATAATAAACAAAATCACGAAAAGTAGAATTCGATGAGCAATTTTCTCTGCGTTTTTTAAATTCAAATTGCAGCTTTTTTTGACCCAATAACCAGATGAAATTTCAAAAGATCCAACTAACGGAAGCCCAAAACAGACATAACAAAAAATCCACGTCACAATAATTATATACAAAGTAGTTTTAAAGGAAACTTTTCTTGAAAATGGGTAACAAATGGCTCGATAACGATCTATGGTGATCTGCATCATAGTAAAAATTGTATTTGCAATCACGACATCAGAAATTGGAAAAATATATTTACAAACAAACCTTCCGTAAGGCCAGGGCACATAAAGCGAAACAAGAGAAGTTGGTAAACACCAAAGAATATTAATTAAATCACTTACAGCTAAATTTGCTATAAACCCGTTTCTTACATTTCGCAATTGCTTTACTCTAATAATGGTTAAGATTACCAGTATATTGCCAGGCAAACCAACCACAAAAATTGTTGCGTACAACCATGTCATTGCCATTTTAAAGGGCATCATTGTTGAGCACGTTACGTTGCTATTGCAAGATGTATTTATTGGTAGAGAAGCCATAACTGATTAAAAAAACATAACTTTTAAGTATATTTCAAAGGAATTTCTGTAAAAACACGTTAGGTCCGTTATCATAATTTTTTTTAAAAAAAAGTTGTAAGAAACTTAATGGAATTAATTTTTTAAATTATTTATAATGTTAAAAATTTCATTTTTTACATTTATTCTATTTTATGAAAAAGAAAAGAAAGAGGAATCACTAAAATTTTAAATCTAATTTAATTAAAAAGCGAAATGAACTTCTGAGTTCAAAACTTTTTCCTTTTAAAATATACAAAGAAATATTAAAATAAACCTTTAAAATGCTATATTAAAAACTGGAAAACATCAATACAAAGTTGTTGTGTAATGAGATAAATAAACACCGATAAAATTAAACTTCTAGACAATTTTTTGTCAACAAATATTTAAGTTGCCATATTAAGAAATTAAATTGCTCAGCTAAAAATCTCAAAAAATTTAGCAATCTCCCTAATTTTGAAAACTCCATTATCTGAAAATATCATTTCCGACTGAGAAAAAAAGAATAGTTGAAAGTAAAAAATGTAAAACTTCGTCTACGGAGATAAAGTAGTTTTTATATTTTAATAGTGGAGATGAAATGGTTTTTATATTTATTCCATATTTTGTTTTCTTTTAGGAGAGTTTTCTTTCTTTGTAATAAATAAAAGCAAAATTAAAATAGCAAAAATAGTAAAAGATATCTTTTTTTTAAATCTTGGTCGAGATTATTGAACTCAAAATTTAGAGCAGTTAATATTTTTAAATTGACAAATTAAAACTTGTAAATATAAAGATTTCTTATTAACTACATTTTTTTTATATCTTTATATTTAACAAACCTTACTGAGATAAAATATTTAACTAGGTAACAACTAAAATAATTAAAAACATAATAACTTACTAAGATTTGTTTATAAATTAAAAATTTAAGCTTTAACAAGATATATAAAACAAGGAAAATGTAATATTGTAGTTTTAAAAATACTTAGTTTATAAACGGGAGAAAAAAACTGTCTAACTATTTGTTAAACTATCAGTCTATCTAACAAGTATGAGGAAACACACAAGTTAGTTTCAGCTTAAAAAATTCCATTTTAACTCTTAATAAGGCTAGTACCACGTTCATTATCCCCCGAAACAGGTTTCTACCATTTTATAGCATTTAGTAATTATGGATGACAAATTTCTAATTAAATAAATACAGTTTTTTTATTTAAAAAAACTTTTGAAGTTAAGTACGGAAATGAAGCAAAAGGTTCATCTGTCTTTGGTTAATTATTTTTGATAAAAAACTTAATTATGCTACAATGTTGATTACAACTCGTTTATTTTGAATATATATAATTCATTTTTACCTTATTTTGATTACTTAAAACTTGATCTTTTGAAGCAATGGCGTAGAGAGCGTTTATGCTGCCCAGAGCTAAATTTAATTTGTATCTATTCATGCTTTTGTTTTGTCTTGTAATGCAACAACAGAAATAAAACCTTTAAGTTTTTTTATTTCAACAAGGAACCTTCTTTTATTAATGACTATCATGATTATGATCAAGAAAATGAGATTTGTATTTATCATTAAAAAGGTTTGATGTAGTATGAATGGCATACTTTTTAGCAAGGACATGAAGCTGTTCAAACCTTGTAATGACTTCTTAGATCACTTAAGGGACTAAAGATCACTTAAAGGACTAAAGATCACTTAAGGGACTAAAGATTTCTCTTCTCAGCTCATTTTTATATTACCATGCATTTTATTCTTTTTTAATAAATATAATATTGATAAAAAGTAAAAAAAAAGAAAAAGAAAAAAATTTTTAATATATGTTTAATATAACAAATTTTATAAAAACACAATTGAAAATAGAACATTATAAATAACATAAAACAGCACACATATAAAACATGTTTCCGTAATACACTTAAGTTTTTAATTAAGAATTTATTACTGCAAAGAAAAAAAAATAAAAATAAAAAAAAAAGATTAAAGAAAAAATAGAGAAGAAATGAGCAAGTTCAGTTGTTGGCAAAAAAAAGCTAGTTAAGATATGACAATTTCAGCTTTGGAAAAAATTTCATGCCTCCTTCCTTACCATTGTTGTTTAATAGACGAGAACCATCATCGAGCTTCCAACCACTTGGTTCTAAGATATTTTAAAATTGAAATTAATTTTTAAACGTAAAGGTATTGCTAATTTTTATTTTTTGATTTTATGTTTCGCAAGAAATATTTACGGTCTTATCACAGAGCACCGCGGAAGAGCGTTTGAATGGAGATTCCCGCCTCCTTCTTTATCAATTTTATAAAACTTGCCTAGAGGTGGACGTTGAACCACGTATCTCTAGCTTCTGAGGCAAGCGCATTTTCACATTTGCCAGTTCGCACTTGTGCCAATTTTTACAACTTCTTTGCACTTATATCAATGTTTGCAAATTTGTTCGGCGCACTTATGCCAGTTTTTGCAATGCTTCGCTCTTATGCCAGTTCACAATTATGCAAGTTTTCACTTAAGCCAGTTCGCACTTATGAAATTCGCGCTTATTTAGTTGTCCCAAATGACAAATATAAAAAATAATTACAGAAGTTTGAATGAGAATTATATATGACATGAGCATTAATGTAATAAACTTACAAAATGTTAAAAGTTTTATTTTTGCTTTTAAAAAAAGGGTGATGATATCTTATTATAGTCTATACTCTCGCAAAAAAAACATCTTAAAGTTAAGATTTTTTATAATGAAAACTAACAAAAAACAATTATTTATAATTTGTCATATATTTAGAGAATAATTTAATTTATAGTAGTAATAAAAAATTTATTTACCAAAATATAAACAAATTTTCGTTTTTCAAAATAATAAACGTGTAAAGAAAAAAAATAAACTTTGAGAAGCACCAAGTTTAATTAAAAGACTGCTCTGCCTAAGCCAAAACACTCGTTGATGTATCTACACTCCACTGCGTGATTCTAGGAATAAAATGGGGTTTAAGGGGATGGGGGATGGGGGAGCAAATTCTTAAAAAAAGAACTAAAAATCTGCTAACTGAAATGTTTCAAATGTCGATTAACCAATTATATTCCTTAAAAATTGACTATAACTTGAAAATTACCTTCTTTGTGGGGTGTCACACCCCTACACATATACAGACACACACATCCACTCCCAGTACAGGGTTGTGCCGAGGGGTATAGAGAGTGTCTAGCCCGCTCTATAATATTAATTATTTGGCAAACTTTGTTGTGTTTGGCTATCAACTAGCTTAACTTAAGATATTGAAAGCCAATTTAAACTGCTCCTAAACCATCAAATAATCGAAATTCTATAAAATTTATAAAGTTGGTTAATAATTTGATTGGGGACTATCAGAGCCATCCTTAGAAAATGTGATGCCTGGAACAAAATATTTTTTAGAGGTCTTCTTGAAAGTTGTCATTTTAAGCGCTTTGACGAAGTAAATGTTTTATCTCTTACTGTCTGAAAAGGGTTGTGTAAGTGCAAAACATAAATTTTGGGTTGGTGTAATTTTGAGTTGTTATTTTCCTGTAGGTTTATTAAAAGGTGAGTGAGTGCTTTATCAAATAATAACAATAAAGTTTTTTCTTAAAGTTATTATAAGTCTGATAATGTAAAGTAAATAATAATTTTTGTCTGACAAGAAATAAATGAATTAGAATAACAAATTAAATTATCTTTGTTGGGTTATTATCTAATAATCAACTGTAAATAACATAACATATTATTACAAAATAGTAATGTTGTTTGCACATATGATTTTTTCGGCAATCGATCCCAGCAAACACAAAACGTTCAAGAAGGTTCTATGAACGTTCATAGAACGTACTCGAACGTTGACAACGTTCGTAGAACGTTCTTGAACGTTTTGTGTTAGCTGGGATATGACGGGTGATCATAGTGAGGTAAATGTTATATAATAAGTGTTCACATCTGTAAAATAATAGAACATAACTTTATAATAGAATCCTCGAAATTTAGTTAACAAAAACAACTAGTTCTTGTTAACCAATAAAAAAATAATACAGTATTATTAATACTGTAAAAACAATTGTTCATGGTTAGACTCACCTTATATGAACTGTACTTTTCTCGCTTTCATTCAAGTGAAGTCGTTAATAATGTCATCAAAATTGATTTTGGTTGTTGTGTCAGATTTAATTGATAACATTGCCAGGGATGATAGCCTTTCTTGAGCTATAGACGACCTTAATGTCTTGATAAGTTTCAAGCGTGAAAAACTCCTTTCTGCGCTTGCCAGAGTTATAGGTATAGCCAAGAAAATATTATACGCTGTAAATGCGTTCGGAAGTGGGTTTGAAATCTCAAAATCCTTGCAGCTGTTTTCACTTCAGTCGGTAGAAGTTCTTGAAGAACCTTAAGTTCAGAAAAAAGATTATTTCCACAAACATCTTTTTCTTCTTCGAAACTTAGGAAAAATTCTAGGTCTTTACACTTTTGAAACAACTTGTCTTCATTTACTGTTTATTAGTTCTTTGACATGATACAAAAATCCAAACATAATATAGTACTTAGTTATTTGTTCAAACCTTCTTTTCAACAACTGTGCTGCAGTATCTGCAATTACAAAAAAATACTCCACTTTAAACGTTTGTTTGGCAGATTCTGCGTAGGACCATCTTCTACTCAAGCATTCTTCTTTTTTTTTCTCTGCCTGACTTCTTGGGAAATGGCTCTACACTCAGAGTTTAACTAAGTTCTCTTATATATATATATATATATATATATATATATATATATATATATATATATATATATATATATATATATATATATATATATATATATATATATATATATATATATATATATATATATATATATATGTATATATATACAGTGGCGGATTGAGGTTTAGTGTCGCGGGGGGGCCAAGTCAATAAATAGGGGCGACCGGGGTTGCCTTCTGTAATTTAATCTTATATATATACATATATATATATATATATATATATATATATATATATATATATATATATATATATATATATATATATATATATATATATATATTAATTGTTTTAGGG